ATCCCAAAAGGCAGCGGCAGAAATAATGCACACCACGAGGGTACAGGAATATATAGTGTTGGAGGGAGTATAAAATTAGACAACAAGCGACGGATTGGGGTGATTGCATTTTTGAGGCAGGCCCTGAATGCCCCAAATAGATACTCTTATTAGTGGTATTAAAGTACTTGTATGTTATTCTATTATGCATATATACCGGGTGCTCAATAGTAGCAGTGAGTTCTTCAAGCTGTATCTACTTGTAGGATTGTTTTTTTCGGGGTCAAGGTTTTAGTTGATTCCAAGAAGGGGTGGTAAAATGGGTTCCATTCGACCCCCCATTGAAGGTCGAGTTGTTCAATTTCAGGCAACATGGCACCTGACACAAGACATCACAAGACTGAGGGAAAATATGTAAAACAAAGGGAGCAAACCATTCATCATCCCTGTGCACCTTTTTTGTCCCTGGATCCCAGACGGTGAGTGGGGAGCAAAATGAGGAGCACTCAACCCATGGTTGGTGGATTGCGCCACTTCTTTTGTTAAAAGAAGACTCCAAGGGATTGTTTATAGCTGACTTTCGATTGGGCACGAGCAACTTTGGAGCTGTATGAACCAACTATTTCCCCCAACCACGAGCCCGGGAGCCACTCGTCTTCTGAACGAGTGGCAGTGGAGATTCTACCTGGAAACATCCTGGAAACTTGTTCTTTTTGGTGGGTACAGCAAGTTTGAATTGGTCTCTGGCGTTCCAGGTAACTAGTTCATTCTTTGGGCCGATCCTTAGTCCACCAAGCCCCGCAAAAGACATTGGGACCCGGACGGCTCGGTGCTCAGTTGGCGTTGGGCCGCACCAGCGGCTTTCGAGCACCTCCGGAGGGGCTGACCCCTCAGGCGGGGAAACGGAGAACCTCGCCGCGAAAGAGCTGTTGCGTTTGGAGGCCTTGTTGGAATTAGATGAGGCTTACGACCTTGGTCGGTGGGGAACGGCGTATTGCAGCTATTCCCTGCGTGGGTGGGTCTTTCAGGTAGCACCCACATCGACAGCTGTGAAGAAACTGATGCCCATCCTAGACCTCCAGGTTGTCACACTGCATACTTGCTGATGCTTGCTTGTCCCCTCCATGCCCCAGAGGGGCACCACACTCCTCAACCAGCACCCAGAGGCAGAGCTGACCAGCTTCCTCAACCAGCTGCATGCTGCCACGTCGCAGCTGGGGGTGGCCGTCAGTGACATGCAGAGCAGTGTGGAGCACCAGGAGCAACGCTCGCGGCAACGACTCCAGTGGCCCGCTGCAGGTGGAGGGAGCTGGTGAGCTGAGGGAAGAGTGAGGGGCAAAGCCGGGTCGAGCTGACCGCTTTAGGATTTGGATGGATTTGGGTGAACTGTGATGATTTGGAAGATGACGGTCAGCCAAGAGAGAGGCTCCAGGAACTGTGTGGACACTGTTTCTCCACTCATTTCTGCAATATCCTGTGAGATCCTGTGAGAGATTCTGGTTTGACACGTGAAAACTCCCACTAAAACCAGGGCGTTCCTCATTCGCTTCGTGACACAGAGCTCCAGCCCTGCGGCCTGCGGCAAAGGCCCCATTTCAGCCAGACACCTGAGCAGAATCCCTAAGAACTAATTCTATTGAATTCTTGTTTCTCATAGCTTCTTGCTCCTAGTAGCGATGCCAGGAGCCCCTAGTAGCGTCCTTGCTCCTAGTAGTAAGGCCAGGAGCCCCTAGGAGCGTCCTTGCTCCTAGCGTAGTGTCCAAGCAAGACACAGCCGAGGTTCACGATGGTCTTGGCTTCGGCGGGCCGGGTCTTCCGCGCCCTCTCGACGAACTTGATGGTGCAGATGCCTGGCCGGTTTGGGGAGTTTGTGAGGGGCGGCCCAGGGCATCCACTCATAGCCCTCAGGCCTAAATCCCTGGGATAGATGTTTTACTTTGCCCAGTGTGGTTTGTAGCCCATGCGTGGAATACATCCAAAGTACAGCCACATGACATATATATATATATATAGAGCTTATTTAACATAGCAAGTATATAAGCTCTAAATATAAGTGCACTACTTTTCGCCCACAGCTGCTCCCTGCTGCATGCCTGAGGCATCACTTGGGGTCTCCTTGAACCGTGCGCATGCCCGAAGAAAACCACGTGTTTTCCAGAATGCCCGAGGTTTGCGCTTAGCCAGCTATGTTTCACTTATTGAATGCTGATGTGGCCAACAAGACACACGAAGCACAGGAGCCAAGGTAGATGATCTTCGGTGCTTGCTTACTACCAGTGGATTGTGAAGTTTGCATGCATACAAGCACGTAACATCATGAGTTTCAATGTTCGGGAACTCCCAACACTAGGCTGAACTGGTGGAGAATGATCTACTGTATATCAAAAGTGGTGGATGCTCCCGGCTCCCATTACAGTCAAAGCCCATTGAACACCATCCAGTTGAGAAGTTTTTTTCAAGCCACTCTGCACACCGTTCGGTTTGTTCACTGGTTTGCACTCGGAAGTCACGGGTAAGCCAAGGGTTTGGAAATCTAGGTGTTGTTTATGCTTGTTTCAACACCTAAGGTAGTAGAGTAATCATGGTAAACATGTCAAACTTCCATGCCAGGAAGATCGAGATACGAGGGGATGTGCGAACGATGGCATGTGGGAACGGATGTCACGACTCATTTTGTCCCAGCCAATGAGCTGGTGTTTGCTTTTCACTGCCCCAAGCTCCTGGACGTTTTCCGCACCAACCTCCTTGGGACATGAGCTGACCAGTGTAGTGCAAAAGAGCCCACCACCTAGCAGATGAGATGCAGATGAAAGGAATACTCAGGGTTTCCCTGTCAAGCCCTAGGTATTTGTGGATTTGGGTTAAGTTATATACTAAACCCAAGGTTTGCATTTAACCCCAGAGTTGAGTTAAGGTTTAGGTTGGCTGGCTTGGCGTAGCTGTTTACTATTTGGCCAAGGTCTTTGATTCAGCCCCTTCCCTCGCCCCTCCCTTCGCCCATCCTCCCAAGGGCATTCCTACAAGCCTGGATTCCTTTACCTCAGCACCACCAGCTTGGCGTTGCCTCAGGAACGCCCAAGATGCTGAAAGCGGCGCGACCGGCGTGTCCCTTGAGCTGCGCGGGGAGCCTGCAGGTGCGACCGGACTTGGCTCGACCGTGCAGGATTCCTCCAATGAAGCACTGGTCGAAGCTGAAAGCCATGGAGCCCTGGTGAGGATCGGATGCTGGATTTGTGGCGGTTTCTAATCTGGAATTTAAGGATGCAGTATCTACAGGTCCAAGGTACTTTCTGGATTCTCAACATTGGCCTCTATACATTGGAACATGATGGAGTATTGAGGACGGTCAGGAGGCCTAAAACGCATCCAATGGCCATTAGCACATTGCTGAAATGGTCTGGCTACAACAGCTCGAAGGTCCTTCTTCCATGTCTATGCGAAGGATCAGTAAATAGTTAATTGAATTCCATGATATGTCCATTATATTGCAAAACTGATTCCTATATTCACAGCAAGTCATCATTTACATTTTGTCACCCAAATAGTCACGTGTTTTTTTTCCGGCCCGGACAGGCACCATGCATTTACTCCCAGACCTTTTGAAATCGGATAACACATTGAAACGGTGGACGACGAAACAAAATTGGAGCAAACGAATCCAGGGGTCATATACTTCGCCAAACACTGCTTTTGCTGCATGAGGAAATCCCTTTGCACCTTACTGCAAGTCGGTTTCAGATTTTTTAGCCCCCGATGTAGGGGCCCCTTTACATTTTGCAGATGGCGATCCTGTGAGCAAAGGACACCCTGCTTTTGTGCTATTGACTTTCACCTTGCGATTGGTCATGCTTTTATACCGTATGGGTTATGTTGTTTTCGGGGAACTTCATGGAAGTGCAGGGAATGGGAATTTGTGGTGAGTCCTCCCATTTTCTCATATTGCTGAGCACAGGACGTTCGAAGCACTGTCAGCTTGTGTATTTAGCATCTTTAAATTTAAAGGTGCTTGTCCCACACAGAGCGTCCACAACTATGGGTTCACCACTAATGTTTGGGAATGGAGGACTTGCTTGTATTCATTTGAAATTCGTACTATGCCACAGTATAATAACATATGATCATACTATGATATTAATATTATATATTATATAACACTATTATGTGTGATATACTGGACCTTCCAAGGTGCGCCCAATGATCAATGGAAGTCACAGTTGGCTGGTACGGATGAGTCAGCAGCGGGATGCTTCCCTCAAATTTTGATCCTTCCGCTCACCAAGGAGTTCAGCCACTGGAGCTGTTTCCCCATTGTTGGCATCAGACAATGCCTGGGCCTTGCCCAGCCCATTTGACGCGACCATATGTGACTGGCCCATTTTGGCGCCCCGTGTGGTGTTCGTGGCCCAACGGGCTTTGCTAACAACATCTACCAACAGGAAGCACGTAATTCTGACTACAGTACTGTATATATGTTTTCCGTTGTCGGTGTATCACGTGTCTCCATCAACAATTGGTGTGTGTGTGTGTTAACACCTGTTTCTAAGGTTTTACCTGGTAATTTTTACCGTCGGTTCCACTAGAAGGCTGAGTGCTACTAGTAGTTTCTGACCTTACTACTAGGACCAAAAGAAGCGGGGGCCACAGACCTGCAACTGCTGCTGTGGCCAACGAAGACCGGCAGTGGCAGGTGTGAAAACGTACCTGCAAAACTGTTTAAAACTGTTTAAAGCGGCTAGTGCATAGGCGGTCTGCTAGGTTTTCTGTAAAACGGCTAATGCATAGGCGGTCTGCTAGGTATTCAGTAAAGCGGCTAATGCA